TCTTGAGAGTCCCCTGGACTGCAAGGAGAACAAACCAATCCATTCTGAAGGAAATCAACCCCGAGTGCTCACTGGAAGGACAGATCCTGAAGCTGATGCTCCAGTACTTTGGCCATCTCATGAGAAGAGAAGACTCCCTGGAAAAGACCTTGACGTTAGGAAAGTGTGAAAGCAAGAGGAGAAGGAGACAACAGAGGACGAGATGGTTGGACAGTGTCATCGAAGCCACCAACATGAATCTGACCCAACTCTGGGAGGCAATGGAAGACAGGAGGGCCTGGCGTGTGCTCTGGTCCATGGGGTCACGAAGAGTCGGACACGACTTAACAATTAACAACAAACAGGACTTCCAAGATAAGTGAGATATTTAAAGGGTGGCTATACCAGTTCCTGTCTCTAGTGAGTTTCCATAGCAGAGCCGAAAAATCAAACCCAGGTCTCCTGAGTCCTTGTCCATTCTTCTGTCCACCGCACCCCACTGGCTCCCCCTTTTGTGACTTAAGTCCAGAAACCCAGGTCTCCTGAGTCCTAGTCCATTCTTCTGTCCACTGCACCCCACTGGCTCCCCCTTTTGTGATTTAAGTCCAAGGTATTTGAAAGACTGCATTCTCCCAGTTGAGCCATCCCAGATTGGTTGGTTGGTTGGGTTCATTCCAAAAATCCTTAAGTGCAACTTTACTTTCTCCTCCCACCGCCTGCTTTGTCAAAGGCACCCAGGCGTTGCAACTTCCTTGGAAAGAAAACTAAGCTCGTCCCACCTCTTCTCTACCTCCACTGGCAAGCAAGGACCTTCCGATTCAGACAGATTGTTAATGTTTAATTTGACTCGCTGTTGAAGCGGATTATACGCTGCTGAGGGCTACTACCTCTCTCATTCAAGTAGCTTTTTTCCCCTCATAGTTGTTGCTGGTGTGTGTGTGTGGTTTTTCCTTCAGTTTTAATGTACGTATAAAATAAACTCTAACAGCACTAGCTGTCTTCCCCCTGCTCCCCTTAGTAGCCACAAAATTCAAAACATCAAACCAAAACCCTTATCTGGGCCTCACCCTTTTCATGGCAAAGTTCTCAGCTGGTAGGCGCCGATAAAGAGATTTTCAGCTAGCCGGAGGGAGGGGGTGGGTGTCTTCTACACCGAGGACATTTTCAGAGCCCTCACAGAACAACAGAGAGGAATTAACCTTGGCCATCCTCGGAATCAACCTTTCCTAACCTTGGTGACCTCCGGCTGTGTTGGATTACAACACCCATCATCCTCACTGGCTGAGCTGATGGGAATTGGAGTCTAATAATCTAAAGGAGGGGACCAGGTTGAGGAAGGCTGCAGGTCGGAACATATCTAGAGAGCTACAGTGCCCGAAACCCACCAAGGAATCTTAGAGGTCATCTATACCAATCACTGGTTCAGTGAAGGACTCTCACCACTCCGGCGCCCCTGTCCACTGGCCAAGCAGCCTCTGGCACTTGCCCAACAGCAGAGCCGGCCCTGACAAGCAGCAGCCGGGGACCTGGGAGAGGAAGCAGTCACAAGCTGGAAGGACAGAAGGATCCACACACACACACACACACACACACACTTTGGTATCAGAAGGCTGGTTCCCTTGAGCAGCCCGGGGAAAGTTGACGAACACAGCATTAATTCTCAGCATCTGTTCCCGCTCACCTAACGGAAGCCCATCCCGTTCACACCTGCATGGCCTAAACGTTCCGGACAAAGAAGGCTCAGGGCGGCGAACTGTCGGCTGAAATCGATCAAAGTCCAAGAGAGAATTCTGGGGAGGCAGCAAAGCATCCATGAGTACTCAGCAGCCGCAACAGCATTGCCTAGCTATTTGGCAGCGCTGGTGGCCACGTGGGACCTTCTCAAAAACAAAACAAAACACCAGTTTACAGTATTTGGGATTTGCTGGCAAGAAACCACACTGCTGAACGTCCACACTGGAGGAGGCTGCCCGCTAAAGGTGTGTGTGAGTGTTTGTGTTTGTGGGACGACAACGCCCAGAATTCTCCAGGAGTTGAAGTCCAAAATCGCAAATCTGGACGCCTCTCCTTAACCCTCTCACCTGTTCTCGCTGTCTCTCCTTACTCCCAATCATCCTCTGCCTGGCTTATTTCCTCCCCCCCCCAATCTAGCTTCACATCTGGTGTGCTATGAAAGGCCGCCGCTTCCCCGCCACCAGAAAGAAAGAGGCCATGCCACAAAAGAGAACGCAGCCTTGTATAAGACTGCACAAGCTAATTTCTTTGAATAGCTGGGAAATTAGCATTTTTTAAAAATAATTTCAGCACAACAGTGCACCTCAGCCAAGTGGGGAAGGTTGCAGCCAGAAGCCTCGGGAGCCTGATATGTCCCCTGTCCAGGAGGGGGGGGTTCAGTGAGGGTTTCTCGCTTCCCTTCTTAGGGGACTTCATCTTTAAATCAGACTGGGGGGGGGGAAGCCCTTTGAATGGGAAACACTTTCAAAGGGGTGAACCCGTCTATCCTCCCGAAAAGCCCAAGCCGTAAAATAAGGACCAAAGAAAATTAGACAGCCAACTCTGGCGCTGAAAGAATCAAGGTGAGGACAAAACGGATGATTAAAAGCAATTAAAATGAATAGATCTAACGCCTACTGGAAGACAAATATATTAGCCTGGGTTCAAGATGGACATAATGAGGATGCCAGGAGGCAATACACAGGAAAAGCATCCCAAAGACACATGGGTGTTTGCAAAGAACCCTAGGGAGTTGGAAGGGGACCATAAAGCCATTGAGTATTATCTCCTGCTTAAGGGAAGAATGCAAATCAAGGCAGTTCTGACAGACGGGGGTCCAATTTTCTCGCAAATGCCTCCAGCGTTGGAGTGCTCACCACCTCCCGATGTCATGAGTTCCATTGTCGTACTGCTCTAACAGTTAAGAAGTTTTTCCTGATATTCAGCCCAGAGCTGGCTTCCTGTAGCTGCACTTTGGGATTATTGGGAACAGATCCTGCCCCTCGACTGTATGACCATCTTTCAGTTATTTGCAAAGGGCTCTCCTATATCACCACAGTCTTGCTTTTCTCAAGGCTAGACATGCCCAGATGTGCGCATCTTGCCATTGCCAGGAGAGGACAACAAGCCTACAAAGAAAATCTACCCAAACTGGCAGGAACACAGTACACAGTGGTGCCTCGCTAGACAGTTACCCCGCATTACCATTTTTCGCTAGACATTAGCTTTTTGTGATTGCTACAGCATTCGCAAAACAGTAGTTCCTATGGGGGAATTTCCAGTTAAGAAGTTTTTCCTGATATTCATCCCAAAGCTGGCTTCCTGTAGCTGCACTTTGGGATGATTGGGAACAGATCCTGCCCCTCCTCTGTATGACCATCTTTCAATTATTTGCAAAGGGCTCTCCTATATCCCCACAGTCTTGCTTTTCTCAAGGCTAGACATGCCAGATCTTTCAGTCTTTCGTCACGAGATTTCATTTCCATTCCCTGATCCTCCTTGTTGCCTCCATGGGGATCTATAAGAAAACGCTTTTCCGACTATGTGCGCATCTTGCCATCGTCAGGAGAGGACAGCAAGCCTACCAAGAAAATCTACCCAAACTAGCTGGAACACAGTAACAGCCTGCAGAAGCATCGCCGTAAGAACTGCATCTGCCTGACCCATCCTTGTCTGTTTCCCTCTGTCAAGCAGCAGCATCTCTTAGTAATCAATGTCCACTTGTTAGGGAGTAACACTACTATGTGCGCATCTTGCCATCGTCAGGAGAGGACAGCAAGCCTACCAAGAAAATCTACCCAAACTAGCTGGAACACAGTAACAGCCTGCAGAAGCATCGCCGTAAGAACTGCATCTGCCTGACCCATCCTTGTCTGTTTCCCTCTGTCAAGCAGCAGCATCTCTTAGTAATCAATGTCCACTTGTTAGGGAGTAACACTCCCAAATAGTTATCATTGTCTAGCGAGGCACCAATGTAATAGCCTGCAGAAGCATCACCGTAAGAATTGCATCTAGCTGACCCATCCTTGTCTATTTCCCTCCATCAAGCAGCAGCATCTCTTAGTAATCGATGCCCATGTGTTAGGGAGTAACACGCCCAAATAGATGCAAAGGAGGAACCTTCAAATTACATTATGGCTGAGGTCACGCAAAAGAAGCTGAGCGGTTTCTGTTCTTATGCAAACAATCATGAAAACATCCGTGCCCAGATCATGGTTTAATCAGAACCAGGAGGAAAATCATTAGCGGAACCCCTCCTCTTTGTCGCAAGTAGAAAAAAAAAGGCTTAAAAAGGAATGCCCAACATGGTTTGTGAGCTTTACATCCCCTGGTGTGCAGTACAGACACTTGTTCTTCCTCATCATCACCTCTGCTTAAAGAGGCTTTGCAGGTTTTGAAGCTCTCCAAAACCCTGCAACACCTGTTTCACCAGAGGCAGAAATCAAACGGGTGTGCACCCCTTGAGGAGCAGTCCCTGCTTCAAATCCCCTAAGACGAAACATCACAAGGAGGAGCTGCAAAGAAGGATCTCATGGTGGAGTGATTGAGTTCAGCATTCCAAACTGCTGTGTTTTCTTTCAGAATACTGCTTTCTAGGCTGTCTTCCACCTAGTTTTCCATCCATCCACCCAATCTTTCTGCTATTTTTTTTTTTTAGGGACCATTTCTTCCCCTGGGGCTTCCCCCAAACAAAACAGGCTTCTTCCTCCTTCAGGGCTCCCCGAAGTCTCTGAATAAGTCCCCTTTTTCATAAGCACAGCCACCCACAATAATACAGAAGGATGCATGAGCTTGCTCGTAGAAAGTACCATGGTTTTCCTATAGCCTAGAAGCTTGCAAAAGCCAGTTGGATGGAGTATCACACCGGGAATCCCTTAGCCAGCTCAGCCGGGGGTCATGGTGGCCTAGATCTTGAAGCTGTCAATCAAACAGATACCTTTTCTAGGCAACCCCCACGTTGCTGTCGCCCTACTTCTCTGAACGGAAAGAACAGCAGGCCCTCCAAACACAAGAACTCAGATACTCACGCGCCAGGGCCACGTGAAACTGGACATGGTGGTCGCTCCTTCCAGAACCACCGGATGTGTTTCCTCTGCCCCGGAGGGCACTGGAGAGATGGAGGTTCTTTCTGTAGAGCGTTTTCTGCAGCCAAAGTTTCCCTGCGCTCTTATCATGCCCACAAGACGCACCTTTATCCGATCACCAGGATGGGAGGGGCCAGGCCCCCCTGGCAGAGTAAGATACTGACAGCAAGTACGCAGCAGGACTTATAGCCTTCCTCAGAAGAAGACGAAGGACATGTGGTCTTATCAGTCTGCGGCTGTGCAAATGTTCTTTGCAAGCCGCTTGGCTTGCATTTGGAGGGACGTCTTTCCTGATTCATATCAGAGTGTTGCGAAATTTAAAATGATGGACATATTTGAGAAAGAGGTAAAATTAAACACAAATTTAAATGTTAAGAGAATCAAATTGTTTTTGACCAGAAGCAGGCTACTTCAATAGCGTGATCTGAGCCATTTGCAAGATCTTCTTTTGTACATGCGGTGGCGCATAAATTTCATGCATGTTAAGTGCTGCATGGATTGAATTTCTCCACAGTCACAGAAAACTTGTCCTATATCCAGGTAACTCCACATTACTTGATTATTCTTTGATCTTTTATTTCACTTTGAAGTCTATAAAGGGACTTCAAGATGGTCCAGCTACAGTTTGGTCCTGATGGGAGACACTCTTTGGCATTCATCCATTCAGCAAAGTGTGTTGTTTTAGCTTTCTGTAAGTTTAGCCTAGCTTCTTCCAGTTTAATATTTACAGCTTGAGAGATGCGTAGAAAACTTTTCCATGATTTCAGCCATTGTCTATGGGATTGTTGTTCATGAAGTGGATGGGTTGGGTGGGGTGAATAACTGCCATTGATTTGTATGGCGATTCCACATTCCACAATGAAAGAAAAGCAGGATATAAATGCACTGGAAACTCAAAGTTTCCACAAGCGCTAGAACTTCTCAGCTATTCATGCCAGTTAACACAAATATTCCAGAAACACATGCCATATACGAAGCATTTTAGAATCTTAGAATGGTAGAGCTGGAAGGGACCCTATGGGTCATCTAGTCCAGCCCGGTGAAGCCCAGTGAGGAATTAAACTACTAACTTCTGGCTCGGCAGGCAGCTATCCACCAGCCTTTTCCCAAACTCCCAGCTCCCTTCCTCAGATACTAAGCTTTGTAGAGGAACATTTTGTGTATTTTTCCATGAGGACTAGAAGCTTCGTGAAAAGGAACCTTCTCAGAAACCTGGGGACCACCCGAGATTCTAAAATCAGAAAAGTGGATTCTAGGGGAGCGACGGAAGCATCTCTGCATCTCCATCCTCATCTTGTCTTAGTGTCTGAGGTGCACATGAATTAATAGCAGCACAATTTAATTCAGCAGAGTTTTATCTCTTTTGTGGCTTTTTCTCAGCTCTAAACAGAGTGGAGTGTGGGAAAAGTGGGGGGGGGGAGATAACGCTGCAGGGCTTTAAAAAGCAGAATCACAAGAAGGCAGAAAGCGGAAGTGGGTAAATTGAGGCTGAGCAAAAGGAGCTTAAATGGCAGGCTTATAAAACATAAAAATTTGCCCACAGATTAAAACTATTCTCTGCTTCCATAGACAATAAGACACAACTCATGAAAGGAAAGGGGATTTAGACCAGATGTTACTGGGAGTGAGGAGAAGGAAATGGCAGCCGGAGATTAAGATGCATCAACAGGGCGAAGCTGATTCTTTTCGGTATGTCGTTTCCCACTCCTTGAAACTTTCTGGCATCGGCTGCGCTCACAGGAGGGCCGGCCCCTGGCTTTGAAGGCTTCGCCAGCAACACCAGCAAAGGTTGGGGCAGTGGAAACGGATGGCTGCAGTATCGTGGGATAGTAGCAATCGTAGCGAATCCTCTCTGGGTTTTAGTCCGAACTTTACAGGCACTCTAGAAAGTGCTGCTAACCCTTCTCCCCAAACAGGCTTGGCTCCTGATCCTTTAAAGTCTGGAGTAAATCCAGGAAAGGTTATTGTCCCCACTAAATGGGAGGCTACCCAGGGTGAGGAGCAGGGACTGCTTTGTGGTGGCACCCATTTTCTGGCTTTCAGGGGAAATCAGCCTGGGGTCCATCTTAGGATAGCTCCCATTAGCTGGCACACACAGTTCTGCCTGGTCAGAAAAAAAAACTCTTCTCTCCAAGCCAAGCCAACCTTATAGGGAATTTGAGGAACAGTTTTCCTGAACCTCTGGAAGACAGTCGGGTAGGAAAAACTAAACTGAGTTTAGGGGATCTGCTTTTGAAGGATGGTTCGGGGCGGGTGGGCTGTTACCCAAACCTCTGGCCATCCTCATCTAACAATATCCATAATTTGGCAATGCTTAAATCCCCCATCATTTCAGCCTTGCTTCCCTCTCTTTCTGTCCTTTAAGTCCCTTCCAAAATTCCCTTTTTCCTGCTTTTAAGGGGGGACATATAGGACTCCCCGCCCGACCCTGAGAACCAACATGTGCCATGGATAGAATGTTGACCTCAAATGGCAGGAAATCTAGTTTCTGGTCTCTGCTCGGCCACGGAGCCCATTTGGGGGACCACAGGCCAGTTAGTCCCTTGCAGCCTGACCCACTTCCGATGGTCCTTGTGACGAAGCTTTCCCCACAGGTAATACCCAGAAGGATTTCCACCTGCTATCAGCCAGCTATAGAATCATTTAAACTTTTTCAAAGAGGGGGAGGGAAAAAAAAACCTACAAATATTTGGAAATCATAAAATTTACAGTATCCAGAGGAAAGGGATGTAGTTATCTAGGGAAACTCATGAGGTTGGACTGGGAGCTCAAAAGGGCCAGATTCTGCACCAGGGCTTTGATTCCCCATCCCTGGCTTTACAGGTAGGGATTCAGCAGGTAAGAAAACGGTCAGGGTAAGAGAAGAGGGAGGGTTTGTTTGTTTGTTTGTTTGTTGTTTGCAATGACTAGATGGATTGTCCTTCCTCTTCGAAGGCAGGCCAGAGACAGGGAGCATTTCATGCCGGGATCACTAACTGTTTTTTGTTTGCTGTGAGCGGGCTCCAACCCGAAGAGAATGATTCCCGTTGCTCCATCAATGCCACCCCTACTCCTTCCCCGTCTTCTTCTCGTCCGTGGATTGACTTGTGTTACATCTCACCTCCCACACCCCATCCTTCTTGCCTGTCAGGGCCAAGAAGAAGAGTAAATATCTCCCCCCCCTCCTCCTCCTCCATCGCGCTCCGTTCAGTCAGCACATGCCAAGACTGAGAGACGGGTTAATATTCCGGCAAAAGTGTGACCTCGCCACAGCCCAGCCCTTGACCGAATCGCCTGAGGCAGCTGCAAGAGCAGTCGCTATCACAGGCAAAGAAAGGAATGAATGAATGAATAAATAAATAAATAAATAAATAAATAAATAAATAAATATTCTGGCCTATTCCAAGTTAGCAAAAAGCACATGGCTCAGTCAACAACAACACGAAATGACACAATACATCTTCCCAAGGTATACGTGTGTGCGTGTGGAAGCCCTTTCAGACAGTGCCTCAAACCCAATAATGTTCAGAGACTCACAAACAAGGCTTTGGGGTGTCGCGTGCCCACCGCCACCACTACCAGCCGTGCCCTTTGCTCGGCTTAAACTCATCAGGAGTCTGGATGAGTGGGTTGTGTCTCCTCACATGTGAGGAAAGTCCCCGGGACAACCGGCCCGCCTCAGCGTCCAGAAAAGTCCCCACAAGCTGCCAGTTCTCCTCAGAGCGACATGGCAACCGCCGGAGAGAGCCGGCCAGGGCTTCCGTCCATGGCTGGCAACCAAAGACCCACTCCAAGGCCAGCCCCTGGCTCAGACGGGCCACGAGAGAGAGACGGAAATGAACCGAAGCCCTCAGAAGGATGAAAACGACCGCTGGGTCACCATGGACAGAGCCAGCTATGGGATGCTGCTAGCAAGCAGAGCACAAACACATTCCTTTTGGGACTACGACACCCAGCATCCTCTGCTCAGCCTGGCCCGGAGCTCTTGCCCCATAAAGTAACTTTCCCACAGTCTGGTCATAAAGCTCTCCGAAGCCAAGATTTCGTTCTCCTCAAACAGGCTCCTAATTCGTAAGTCCAGCATCTCCGTATCCTTAAAGCTATGTTGTGCAGCGGTTACAGTGTTTCCCCCCAAAAAAACTTTAATGTACTTTAATTTTTTTCCCCAGACTCCAACTTCCATCACTCCTGTCCGACATGATGCGGGCTGATAGGAACTGTAGTCCAAAACACCTGGAGGGTTAAGATTGGGCAAGGCTGGGTTAAAGTATAAGACCAGAGAGATTTGGGTGCCCATCTCCGAATCAGGAATTAATTCATGAGATGGCCACTATCTCTCAGGCTAACACACCTCACAGGAAATAAAAGGTTTAAAGGCCAAATACAGAAGTACCAAGCAGGGGGGTTGCAGCTCCCTTAAGCAAAGGTGCGGCATAAATTCCTCTGTTTTATTTCTAGGTTCGTTCCACTCATGCCCTAATCTTCCTCCAGTATAACTGAAGGTGGCGTATGAGGCTTTCTCGATTTTTCTCCTTGCAACAGCTCAGAGAAGTTGGGATTTGAACTCAGGTCATCTGGGGCTCTAGTCTAAAATTCTATCTACTAGCCCAGTAGTTCTGCAGAGGTTCTTGGACTACAACTCCCAGAAATCCCGACCGGCACAGCTGGCGGTGAAGACTTCTGGGAGTTGCAGTCCAAGAACATCTGGGGACCCAAGGTTGGGAGCCCCTGCAGAAGGACCAACTCCAAATAAACCGTTCTAAATTAAAAGGAGACGTCGTCCCCGTCGATTTTTTTCACCCAGATCAGCAGAACCACCTCTAGCTTTCGGTGCCCCTAAATTGTGTTGCCCTGAGGCCAACCCACCCCCAACTGCTGTTCTCCTGAGGAGGGGTCACATCTGAATCGCTCCAGCCCAGAAAACCGGCAGCCCCCGGTTCTCTGCCCAGCGCCACGGCTCAAGGGCAAATGGTTTCTTAATTACTGCTTACGGTGCAGGTTTCTGCTTCAGCTTGGGCAGCTGCCAGTCCCGGGGACATGCCAAGGCCCTCGTCTCTGCCCACCGTTAATTGAACAACCAACCCCCCCCCT